CTGAGAAATTAGTACTATAATTGCGTAGTGAATTGACATTTGGAGTATTTAATAAGGTATTACTTGAACCAAACAACAAGCTTTTGATGACCATTCACTGGGACTGAATCCCTGCAGTATTTCTGACATAACTGGCAATCTCTGCTCAAGAGCCTTAGAGAGCAAACAGCAAAATTAGGACACAGCAGAGCACAAGCCATCTAAATCAACTGGAACAAGCCTCAAAATTCACTTCTGATCCTCAGCTACGTCTGATAACAGCCAGTAATAAAATCTTCTGCCTTTACGCTGTTCTAAATTACACAAACACAAGGCTAACCCTGCAGCAATTTTTTTTTCACCTCCTACTGTAGGCAATGACGCTAGCTGGAATTTCTCCTTGGGAAATGTTGCCATCTAGTGACTGCACGTTGCTTTATTATTCCCCACAAAAACTACTAGAGAGAAGACCTAATTTGTACTCAGATTTCCTGAGTAACAAAAGTGTGATCAATGATTCAAAAAGAAGAGTTATAATTTCATGGTCATATTAAAAAAAAGGGGGGGAGGGGATTCCCGCCCACAAACAAAAGATACATTGTAAACTCTTTAGATAAAATGTAATTATTAATGCTAAAAAACTAGGAAAGAAAATATCTTGAGACTTCCTAAAAAGAAAAAAAAAAAGGAGGAAAACAAGGGACTCAGTAACTGATGTTCTCCATTATGCTACAATTCTGTTATGATTTAAAATTCTGTTGCCCCTGCTAAGACTCACATTTCTCATCTGCACAAAAGTTACAAGTTTAGTAGAACAAAATGTTAGCTTTCTATTACAGGTGGGCTCCACAGACCATCTCCTGCACACCCTCCCAGCCTTAGGGTTTATAACAAAAGATAGGCCTAATTTGTGATGAAATCACACCTTTCAAAGGTGGGAGACAGTCTGCTGCTCAGCAAAGGTGGTGGCTGGTCAAAGATTAGGAAGACCCAGATCAAAAGCTGCTCAAAAGATTCATGTGTTCGACTGACGCAGGTGAAAACACTTGGTCTTAGACTGCTCACACAGAACAGCAGGAAATGTGTGCAAGATTCACACTTTGTAAAGCTGGAAATTCATTTCTAGCAGAAAGGCCTATCGGACATGTTCTGTGTGGTACTTTCAATAAGAACTAACAGTTTAAGCGATAAAAGTCAAAAAAAGGATACCTTCAACTGAGGACCTGTATATCAAGCTCTTTTTTTCAATGCCATGAAGACATGAGAACAAAAGCCTTGGCTTCTTTGAAATCCCACAACTGCTCGTTTTTCTACTATACCACGTGCTGTACATCCTATGTAAACAATGTCAGAGCTGCACAATAGCCTCTAACACTAGAAGGTAATCTTTCAGGAATCACTGAGTAGAACTGTAACTGAGGGAGGCTTTTAGAACTTTTAGAAGTAATTTAAAAACGAGTTCAAAATGGCTATTCAAATATGAACTACACAGTTTACAGAACCTTTTCTATGGACCTGCAAGCATAAAAACATGGCATACACTGCCACAAGTGTGAGCTACAACAGGTCAGAAAGATAAGTATAAATTGCTCTGATTTATTCTTTAAAATAACTTATAAATTTTTAATTTATTCCAACTTTGAACTCTGTGATGACAGGACTTAGTCCTATATTATACAACGGAATCCAAGGAGCGTCATTTAGTTGCTTGTCTGCGGTTACAGAGGAAATGCTCTTTCAACAAGTCATTCTATAAGCTGATAGTTACAACAAACAATTAAGGGCTGAAATCCAGACCACTGAAACCAGGACCCACCTCGGGTGCTGCACCCAACTCTCTGCATCGATGTAACAGGAAACCAAGGTCAGACAGCCCTGAATGACACAGCAGCCAAATCTACCCCTCTTTCTCTCAAGTACCAAAGGAGTAGGTTCACTGAATATGAATACTTTTTTTTTTATAATTGCAAAATTTCATTTTTTTACTTAATCTGACAGTTGTGTGGTAAAGGGAACAGTCGGAACGGACCTTGGATTAAAGACTGAAACACAGTCTGTTAAACACTGTTCCAATTCTGCATTTTCAGCAACATCCAGCACAAATTGCTTCCCACTCTGATCAGAATAAGGTTGGGAGAAAGAAGAAAGGTTTCTTTGGTTTCTGATTTTACAAAAATGCTGGCACTTTACTCACGTAATCATTCTTGAAGGCTATAGGTAAGTTCATTTTGAAAAATGAAGTCACAGTTGCTGGCTTTAAATTTTGAATAACTATGGCTTTATCGGTAGGCTAATTCATTAAAAAACTAATTAGAAATGCAATCAAGTTGCAAAGTTTGTCCAACTATGTTTAATCTACTTCATCAAAAACGATATCTATAAAGAGTGCAGCTATTCTTAAGGGACAATATACCTATCAGTCATTTATAAGAATAAAAAAAGGAATGCAGTCAAACTCATTTTGCAAAGGTTAATATAGTCTGAAAAGCATTTATCCCCAATTTTCTCATTTTCAGGACATGCTGAAGCCCCAGAGAGTCCAAAAATAAATTTTTAAAAAGCTAGGTATTATTCCTGTGACACTTTCAGACATTGAGCCTCTTCAAAAGCAAAAAAGTAGGTTTTGGGAAGGATGGACTTCCCAAAATTTAAATAAATACTAGCATTGTCAACAACAACTTAAGTTCCATCCCAAACAAAATTAGTATCAGTGTAGAATATAGGAAGAAAACCTTAACATTAATGTCTTTTTCTTTTAAAAAGCTACATTTTAAATGTAAATCTTTATGTAACAAAAGGCACTGAGTATTCAAACGAGTAATTATGAAATCACATACTGGAAATATATATTAATATCATTTTATTAATCATTTAGTGATAATGCAGCTCTTCTTCAGGCCATATTCTCTACAAAAAGATTCTCAAAATCTCTAAGACCATACTCTTTTGAGAGGAATCTTGAGGAATCAGTTTTATGGTCAATTACAGAATTACGTTGAGACTCAAGAATTGCCCAAAGGACAAATGGTTACTTTAATTCCAAGCACATTGAGTATTGCCAATTAATAAAATTGCTTGGTCTTCTCATTCAACCTTTGCAACAGCAGCTCTCATGTTTGGTTCCATTTGTATGCCCGCTACTCAACACTTAAACAAAGCACCACTTAAAACCCAAATATGTAGATGAGATAGGATTTAAACTGCTTCCTAATTCTTATTAGAATCCCCCTGGATGAGGGGAGGTTACTTAGCAGTTTCTTCTTGAAGCTTTGCTTCTGGAAAAGCAAAACTACCTCAATCATTCAAACACTTCCTTAATAGGATCATTACATTTTTCTTCATGTTCATGTGAAAATTAAGTATGCAGGTCTACTGTCAGTCATCAAAACAGTAAAAGCATCTTGAGAAAGCTAATTAAAGCTAAGAACAAACACTTTCACCCCCTCTCCAGCTTATTTTTCCCCCAAAGAAGGATCACAGTATGTTCTGTTATGGAAAACAGAAAGCAACACTTACTAATCTATAAAATCTTCTTACATATCCAGACTGGGCATGTGCTTATTAGCAAGCCAACGCTGCAGCATTTTTGGACAGTCTGTATCATGGATCACTAACTTTTCCCACATATTTCAATATTTACAGTGCTCGTACCACGTAAGCAGTTATGCAAAAGCTGCTCATGGAGAATTTAATTGCTAACTACTGTCCATGAAAAAAAAACCAAAAAAAAAGAGAACGCAGCTTAAGCCGTAATTGTTGACTGAAAGTTGAGTCACCTTCCTAAACACCATTCCAGCTGCTGAGCAGAGGCACACAGGGCTGGAATCCCAATTTTCCTACAGTCCTCATACGGAAAGACTGAACATCAACCGAAATGGCACAGGGTATAACTGAACGAGGCTGTAACCGCCACATTTTCCCCACCTGTTCTCAACTTCCCAGGCACAAGTTATTTCTGAGAAGAGGAGAAATAAAAATAAAGGTTATGGAGGTGGAGAAGGTAGGGTTCAATAGTCACTAACATACCATAAACCCATAACTGACTCTCAAAATGGTTACCATCACCAACAGTTCTCTCTTACTGCTAATTTAATAGTACATTTAAGTTACCTAAAACTTGTATGTTGTTTTCTACATAAATTTCAAACAAGTATTTTTTCACATTCCCTATATAAAGATTTAATTTTTGGCACTAGTAGAAAATTTCAATGTAAACCTCTGAAAGTGAGGTTACTTACAATTCACATAAGCTAAGGAAGTTGGGTGGGGTTTTTTGTGGGTGTTGGGAGGGGGAGACTGGGTTTAGGGGTAGGGGGTGTTGGTTGGTTGTGGGGTTCTTTTCTTCAGGTGCACCTATAACAAAGTGTCAACCTTATCTGTAATAACCAGATCAAAAGAAAAAATAAAATATTCTAAAAATTAGTTTAATTTGGAACAGTAAACACCCAGAGTCTAGTTGCCTAAATTCTTCTCTCTAGCAGACCCTTTTGGGAGGCTCAACTGGGTACCCTCATTCTTCCACAGGTTGATTTTTCCTTGCAGTTTCTCTTATGCTGAATTTCTTAGGATCATATAATATGATTTGAGGATACTTTTAATGATCCTGTAACATATTTCACTGTAAATTATTAGCATGTATTCAACCTTACAGCCTAAAATACTTTTCTCATTGGGATTTTATACAAGCAAAGAATGCTTTCTCAACACAAGAAAGGAGTAGCGTACAAACACGTTCAAGCACTGGACTGATATGCAATTAAGCAAGTTACATCTGTTTGTACCACGAAGACTATCCCATTGCTCTACCAGTTTGAGTCACATTTGTGAAACCTGAGATAAAACACTATTTAGAACTGGTTACCAGCCCCACTCCAGTAATAGCGGCTTAGATAGACAGTATGGCAATCTGAAGTTATGTTTGCACATGAACGGTGAAACAAAGCTTTGTAGAGTTCTGTCACACTCCCACCCCCAATCCCGAGCAAAGAATTAAAAAAATAAATATATGCAGGAGACATTACCAGTAGCACTGGGCATTATTCTCCAGCAGCTTCTCCACCATGTGCTCCACTCTTACAAACCAGCTTGGCACAGCTTTGTATATCAACGGAGTATCTGACCTGTAGAGGGAAGGTGATGGGGAATGGAGAAAAGCAAATAAAAACATTTTCAGTGCTACATTATTTATAAAATGGTCTTTAAAAATGTATTTTTGTACATGACAGTCCCCTTTCCACAGCCTGAATTCATTGTTGCTCCTGAAATATTATCACAGTTACAAAGGTTGGGTTTTGTTTTGTTTTTTAAATTACACAAACTGTTACACTTGTGTGAGCCACTATTTTAAAATCAAATCCTACAAATAAAATTTTTATAAAGCCTTCAAACCCAGCAAATCAAGTAATTTGTATAGCAAGAGAAATAATAACATTCAAACAATACTTGAATTTGAAATTTATGTTCCTACATAGTACAACAATAGGAACTTCAGTAAGTATTAAAATGGGTCATATTTGTCTTCCACTTTAGCTCATTCTGTATCTTATTTACACGTCCATCAATCTGAAAAGCCAGAAAACATTATGCTTATGTTTTTACTATCTGTATTTAAAAGAATAATAATAAATCAAAGACAAAGTAACAGTATCCAGGGTTATACTTGAAGAACGTTGCATTCTATGAGGACAAAGAAAGCAAGAGATCCAGATAAATATATAAAAGTAAGAAGTTATAAAGATTTCTTATATATTCCTTACTTCAACATTCAGTGAAACCCATATAGGGTAGGTTGGGCTTGGGATTTCTTAGAAACGGGAACACTGTAGGGTAGAGTGTACAGACTGACAAGATCCCTAAATTACCCAGTAAAATTAATTTCTCTACGCTTCTGACTGCATTCTCTCTCAACCAGTCTCTTATTTGTCAGTTCTGTACTACAACAACTGCTTACTGTCTTGGGAGATTGTTCAGGTAGGATGCATCCTTCAAAAGGAACCAGAAATCAAATAGTGGGTAAGAGTCACTATTGGACAGTTCAAACATTTCTAATCCTTCACACTTTTTCCATTACTTCAACTTGAAAAGGGCGGTTCCATCCTAGGGGACAGAATCTGCCTATGGGTACAGAGTTCAAACATTTCCAATCCTTCACACTTTTTCCACTACTCCAACTTGAAAAGGGTGATTCCTAGGGGACAGAATCTGCCTATGGGTACAGAGCAGCAACACTGGGACAAGAAACTCATTCTGCCTTGGTAACAATCCACAAAATGTTTCTTAATTATAAGAATTTCTGCATTTGTTTAAGTCACTTTGCCTCAGAACTTGGAAATACACTTGCTCAACAATAATGTGCAAGCAAACGCTGAGAAACTACCATTATCTCCTACATGCAGTCATTACTGTAAACAACCCATCTTAAAATTTTAATTCATTTTACTTATATCCATAGCAAGGACTTGTTTGAAATTCACAAACTACTGGAAATTACAATGTAAATTAAAACTGCTGCTGTGGAAGCACTCCCCAGAGGTACATCTGCCTGGCCAACAGAAGAAAAGAAAACCCATAGCAAACACTGCTCAAACCTGAAGAATTGCACTTACATTGCATAAAGCCCAATAATAAAAACCACATCCCTTCTCTTAATACTTTATTTCAGAATATATCTCATTTTAACTATAAGCGATACATTTTGATCTGCATCTTTTAAGAGTTAAGAACCACATCCCTTCTCTTAATACTATATTTCAGAATATATCTCCTTTTAACTATAAACGATACATTTTGATCTGCATCTTTTAAGAGTTAAAGTATCTATGACCTTACAGGAAATGGTAAGAGCTCAAAGTAATACTAAAAGTGTTGTAGTTACTAAATGCAAACGCACTAAGCTAGAGGTTCTGCTGCTCAAATTTAAGTCCTGACACCTAAAAAAGAGAACAGTTCATTTAACTCCCCACACAGCAGCACGATGACAATAAAAAAGAAAGTATTCTGCATGCTACAAGGTACTCCAGAAGAATTTTAGCTTCACTGAGCATTTGGTTTAGATGTGCTGAAGAATGATGAATTGCCATCACATCTAAGGTCTTGAGCTACTGGCAACAAGAAGAATAGAACCTGATAATAAGTTTCTCACATGGTCTTAATATATTGCAAAAAGAATGGTAGGACAATAAACTGGTACCAAGCTCTGTCAGGAGTAAGCGGCTGACAGATGAGGCTGATGAAGACAAGCTTTAGTGCAAAAGCAGCTTCAGACACAAAGGGTCTATGAAAAAGAGACAAGCAGATGATGCCATAATCATTTCCCAGGTTTTCAACCTACCACTGTAACTTTATGACACTCGATAACCATTCCAAAGCACCCACAGAGCGCTGCTTCCACCTACGTGAAGTTAGTAAGAAATGGGAGATGGCAGAGTTTCCCTGAATGTTTTCTTTCTTCTAGCTGTTCTGCCAAGTAGTGTCTCAGCAGGAGACAAAACCAGTACAACAAAATGAAAATCTGCCCAACCAGTCACATCTTACACATTCCTGCCCCTCATGACTGGTGAGAGGGTCGAGGAAACCAATGAATCAAATGAGAAATACCCATTACTGGGTTGTGTTTTCCAGAAGTACAAGACAAGGGAAAAACCAACCAGAGAGATGTAAATCACAAACTGATGCTTACAAAATTCCTGCTTAAACATTCCTCTCTGTCTCAAATTATAAATATGTCCTTTAGAATTGTATCAGGAACCAAAGCATCTGAGCAAATTGCCTGTTCCTTAGCAGTGCCACAAAATCAGCATTCTCTGAAATCCAACCTTTGTACTTGAAAAGAGGTAGATTGGAAATACCATTCTCTGTGGACACTACACACTCCCAATAGTTTTCTCATACCCGTTTCGGACTGCACAGCTGCTTAAAACAAGTTATTGTGATCTTATTTCCATTCCATTTTCTTGTCATTTAGGAAACAAACGATAACTGATGAAAAGATGCTTCTCAGCTTTGCTTTCACTGGCTTGAAAAAGCCAAAGCTTCTGTACCTGGCAATGGCAGAGCTTCCCAATATTGCTCCTTAACAGAACGGCACGCCGTAGCTGCGATGGACACTTTGCTGCCTTTCACAGTTGTTAAATTGCTACCTATAGACCATAAAGGCTCTCAACATCTCACATCCACATAGAGTGGTTTTGACCAACAAGCTGCATCTTCAGCAATTCCAATAAGGGGGAGTTATAACTGAAATGTATCTGCTGTGCACTTACCAAGTTGTTAATTTTTTCCTCTCTCAAATTTTAAAGGTTTAGTTGACAGAAAGTTACTACATATCACAATAACAAAAAAATGTAGAGAAGGACCCTAATTTGATGATATCTAATAAGAGACAAAATATCTCAACATACTGAGGATTCAACAATTGCCTGGCTTCAGGGAAAAGCGTGAACAGTAGTACATTAAGTAGAAGAGTCTGATTTCAAAGTTTTCTTACATTAATCAAAATAACTTATAACTATGTTCAAAGTTTAAGAACTACTCTTCTACTTTTAGCATATTCCAATTATGGCTTGATTTCTGATGGCAGTGAAATGAGCTTTTCAAGTAGAATCCATTATTCTGTTCTTCCCACCAGATAATTTGCTGCTAGGTGCTGCCTGCAACTTATCATCAATCAACAAAAATGTCAACAGAGTGGCAGGATTAAGTATGTTCTACAGAATCAGCATTTCTACAGTACTGGTTTGTCTCAGAAGGCTACGACTGTACATCTGAATCGCCCCGTAAGAAAAACACAAACATTGCTTGTTTTGGTGCTGTCATTTTTCAAAAACTGTCCCAAATCATCAAGGACATAACACCTGAAGAGCAATTCCCCTTCTTCCCCCAGGAAGCTGTTAGAAACAAGCCAATCATGCTATTCAAGAGCAAGTAAAGGTTATTCTTGCTATAGATCAAAGATAAATGCACACTGCTAAAACACTTCACCTAGAAGCATTAAAGCTAGGCAGAGAGAAAAGCTTTTATCAGAGTTATTTCAGTACAGGCTCTGTATGCATCAGATATGACTTAAAATGTTCAAGTCATTTCAGATACGAAATTAGGTATTTTATTTTTTTTGAAGTGTGTTTCTAATAAAGCAGTTTAATACAATATTCCTACTAAAAGATTACTGAAGTTTCTATTTTTAAATTTGACATTGTTCAGTGATTTATTTTTTTCCCCTCAATTTTGCAATAGCAACTGTATACACTTAAAACCAGAGAGGACACTAATAAAAACATGCTCCATTTCTAGATTAAATTTATCTAGCTTGTATTTCCATAGCCGAAATTTCTTACGTTAGTTTACTACACTGAAGGCCCATGGAGTCCTCCTTCAATCTCAACAGAATTACCAATCTGAGAAGGAAGACGTTTGCCAGGCCACTGTGCAGAACCACCTACCTGACCTCCCAGAGCTAATCTCAACTTTCCAGCTGAAAAAACCCAGTATTTCTAAGTAGTCCCTACATATATTATAAACATCTCAACTGCTACTTCTGATCAGAGAAATAACCATTGTTTGGGAACTCCAGTCAGGAATGACTGGGCAGAAAAACATATTTATGTATTATACTTACTACCCACTGCAGTGGAAAAATGCTAACTTTTATTTTAATCAATACAGATGCTTCCACATTATAAGCAACTGGGTTCTACCAGACTCCAGAGAAAGAAATAACTTTACACCATTAAAAAGAAGTAACAATGGAACAGCTACAATATAGCCATTTTATTCAAAACATGGGAAGTTTGAACACAAACATTTAAAGACATTCTGCAATATACTTATTTGGATACAATTCAAAGGGTACCAAAATCTGCTTTTCCATCATTCAGTACTTAGCCGTTCAGAAAATAAGCTTTTTTTTTTTTTAGACTTATTATAGCCATCTTCAAAAAGTAGTTAGCAGTACTACATGCAACACTGAAGAATGAGAATTTCAAACTACAAAAACATACTCGTAAAATCATAATAGAAAAAAAATCTTAGCACTACACTTAAATTCATCAGATTTATGGCCAAAATTTTTTATTTACTTGATTACTAAACCAAAATGTGAGCTCTCCTACTTCCATATTCTTGATTCCTGTTACTTTTTGTCTTGTTAAAAACTAAGTAGGTCAAGGCAGGGGAAAAATGAGACAAACTTGAAGAACTACTCAGTTAGACCCTTCAATCTTAAAGCCATATGAACTTCTCTCCTTACCTCCAGCAGAAAGGATAGCTGTGCTTAAAATTACTGCTGTGAACCAGTCTGCCTTTCTCTTTCAGTGATTTAATGATGTTCTTATCTGCATCCTAAAAAGACAGAACAAAAAATTTTCCTTGGAATACAAATTTCACTATTTCCGTATGCTACCACAGGATTTGTCTCCAATACCCAAATTAAAAAAAACCCTACAAATAATCCAATACTTACACACAAAAAAAAAAAAATCCAAGAAGCTTCCATACAATTTATGCATTTATTGCAGAGGCACTATAAAACACTAAATTTGGAAAGTTAATAGCTCTCTAAATCCTGGTACACAGCATTAGTCTTAACTCTGTTTTGACATACAATGACGTAAAAAATTCAAATTTTCTGTAGCACTAATGTAAGCCAGAATTCATGTTATTTAATATCATAAATCTTAACTTTTTTTATGAGTCTTCTGACTTTGTGGCAGGAAGCCACATAGTGCTTCTTACCTAATATTTAGACTTTACAACACATTCCTCAAATGTGCCTACAGTTACAGAAGCTGAAGCATCTTTGACAATACTTTACCAACTAAACAGGATTTATGTTCTAAGCTGGAAGTGAAAGTTGGACATTAATAATTAAAGACAATCTACTGAACAAACAAGTACCAACATGACATTAAGAAAAAAATACAACAATTCATGATACAGAAATATTTATAAGCTAAGAATTCATCATGATAAGTCTATTTGCCAAGAGCCTTAAGTTCAGACTCCTACCAGCAGGAAGATAAACATGTAGCCTCCAGCGTTCTCTTATTTGCTTTAACATATAGCAGGAAGCAGTGATAGCTGTTTGAGTTCAAATGCAATACAAGGGTTTTAAGTCTGTTTCAAGTAAATTATGTTTATAGGAGCATGCTTTGCTATCAAACTGTACCAGCAGGAAACCAACTAAAACCAATTTGTTTTCTTAGCACGTAGAATGAAAGAGGCACTTCTTTCTATGGGTTTGTGTCTGTAGCAATCTGGAGTTCCTGTGAGTTCCTCTTACATGGATTCTCTTCCATTATTGGCAAGTAAATTCACATTGCAACACATCCCACAAGTGTGGAAAATGACTGGATTTCTCTCCTCTAACAAGTCACATTACACTATCTGGCTGGTATAAACTTAATGACGACATCTGTGAATTCAGAAGTCATCCAGAGGTAAAGGAGGCCTCTGCACACTTGCCTAGAGACTGCATAAATAACATTTCCATAAGAAACAAGGGAAAACTAAGACTCTCTGCAGTCAAGGCAAACAGGAGATGGTCCTCTTCACCTTCATTACTAGAAACACTGTGCTATTTAGGTTTCAAATTCTGTATTTTTCAGATATTGTAATAAACATTGTTGCAAGTGTTAAAACACATTTTTATTTTTCCAGTTACCAAAGACACATTGAAGACAGAGCCACTTATGGAAAGAAAAGAACACTTCCACCATATATAAAATTTATCTTGAATAAAATAGTTACTTTCTCTGAGACCACTAACCTTCACATATTGTCCAGCAAAGTCAGTCACTTCTGCTGTGAAGCAGCCTGATGCATCAACAGGACAAACAGGCACAGAATCTTTCTGAATAATATTAAAATCCATGCAGACTCTGTAATCATCCTACAAAAAAGACAAGTGCCAAGTTATAGAAATGCAAAAAACTGGTTAGAATATCCATCCCTGGAAAAAGAAATTAAATAGAAAATGTGACAACTGGACAAGAATAGCAAAATACTCAGCCTTCACTAATCCCAAATATGCCTAGAAAAAGATGTATTTCATAGGATTGTACTTTTATTCATCACAGAAATGATGATTTCTTCAGATTATAGATGTTTTCTCTCATCTAGCAGAAGGCATATGTGCATGTGCTTCTGTGCATACACAAATATGTACATATATACACACATATTTTACATACACATATACATACATGTACTCAATAGCTTCAGGCTGCTATTGTATAATAAAGGAACTGACACACACGATGTCACGCCTTGTATCAGACAGACTCGTGTCTGTTTAGCTCACAAGCCTGCACGGCATTTTTCAGAAGGCAGGTTGTTTTAATTAATCTAATTCTGGAACTACACGTAAGAAATCCCATTTTCTGAATGTCTTAATGATCCAAAGCCTTTAAATCCGTATTTCTCAATCTTTGTTGGCCTGTAGGCAACACTACTGACCAAGAACCACACATGGACAATATCACAGTTTATTTTCCTGGCCAGCTTCCATTTAAATCTTTAATTTCCTGTAGCATTAAGAAAAAAAGAAAAAAAATTAAGAAAAACAGGGCCACTTCAGACTTTCATGAGCATAACAAAACAACAATGGTACCTTAGAAAAGATTTAAAAAAATTATTAGGGGAATACAAAACTTTGGATATTCATTGCAAGTCTGAAGTCAAAGTAAATCCATATCTTAACCAATTATCACTCCAGATTACCCACTTCCTTGCCCTAAGGTGAGAGAACATTCCTGGGGGTGGGAGGGGAAGGGAGAAGGGGACAGTTGCAGTTCAGTCACCCTCAGCACACTCACAGAAGAATCCTCGAGGAAAAAGGCCCTGTCTACGCCTGCATCAAGTCAAGGCTGCTTTTTTGAATCTTGAAGGCTCCTGTGTTGCTGCTCTGAGGAAACCAGGGAAACCACACACTTCAGGAACAAAACCAGAACTTTCGTGTAGTGTGAAACACAACCTGCAGTCACCCTGCCCACCAACGCCGGCAGCAGTTGAACTGTTACCCTCCTCTATGCTTGGAGCTCATCTACCTTTTGTAAGGGACAGCAGCTATTTCACAGGAGTTGCATTCTAAAGCCATTTGTCCACCTTCACCAAGGAGACCACACCAGAAGCAAGTGTGTAAATAAGAGTTAAATAAGCAAGGACTTCAGGAACAAGAAGGGAAGTTTCATGTAGCATGAAACACAACCTGCAGTCACCCTGCCCACCAACGCCGGCAGCAGTTGAACTGTTACCCTCCTCTATGCTTGGAGCTCATCTACCTTTTGTAAGGGACAGCAGCTATTTCACAGGAGTTGCATTCTAAAGCCATTTGTCCACCTTCACCAAGGAGACCACACCAGAAGCAAGTGTGTAAATAAGAGTTAAATAAGCAAGTGCTCCATAGCAAGCTGAATTCTCCTTTCTTAGTTATAACCAATGTAGGTGAGCCAGCTTTGGACTGACAGAGCAGGGTTTCCAGCCACTTTCTGTGGTCCTCATCCTGTACCTCCAACCCTACCCACTAGTCCCTGTAGTTAGCAGATCTGGCAGGTGTTGCCTGTTGATCCACAGTATATTTCACAATGATGAAACTCATCCACAGTGACAGTGAAGTTGACTACATCATGTACCAAGGCATTACACGTAGAAACAAAAAACCACTTCAGCTACCGCACTCGTTAACTCTAGACCATAGTCTCTTCCCAGTCTCCAGCAGCTGTGGATGGCCATCATGATTACTCAGCCTCCACTTGGTCAACAAGCTTCTCCAGTCAATAGATTAACCAAGATAAACTCATTCTCAGTTGACCTTCCATCAACTATTATTGCCAAGATCCAGCAAGCAGACTGCGGTGTTTAAAATGTAGGCCAGATGACAGAACTAACGTCAACCCTGATTTGGCAGTGAATTGTAAAAGGCTTTGAAGCAGCAGCCAGCAGAGACTACAAAGCTTGGCACGCTCGCAACCAAGCTAAAACATCATAACAAACCTCCCACTTCATAAGACCTAGGTCAAGAGGTGGTTCAGTTCGATTTGCATCACTGATGCAGTCAATGATATATAAAGGGCTTTGCTATTTTGGTTTTCTACCGTTAGTTCCTTTCTTTTGAAGCACTCAAACCTGAATGAAAAAGCTCTCCAGACAGACCTGCCATTTCATTTAATGAAGATTTGCTTCAGTAACCACAACCCAAGAATATATTCAGGCACATACAGAAATCCACAAATGTTAAGCTCCACTGGAAAACTAAGACAAATTTCAATTCTTTCCACAAGAAAAGTCACAGTGTTCACTTTTGTACCCCTGCCACAATTAGATGTCTTGAAAGATTACAAACAAAAGTCAAAAACCACATACACAAAATGAATGAAGCAGAAGTTGTTAAACAGCTCATTGATGAGAACTCAAAATTTTCTGAGATTTAAAAAAACCAAAAGATCAAAAACATGAAGTCAAAAGGTCCACCTCCAGCAAGTCTTAACAAAAATCAAGTGTATTTCACTGAATTTCTAGAGTTGGAAGGGACCATAGAGATCATCTACTGCTACTCTAACAGTAACATACCTATGAAACTTCTGTGACTCTGTCTGAACAGGCATTAGAAGGATAGGGCTTGTATGCAAATTAAAATGTTACTAAAGCTTTTTAAGTTGACTGTAGATGTATGATGACATGCCTGAGGAGCTGAATTTTAGTGTCATGTTAATCTGGATGTACAATGAGTTTACAGAGGTTTTATACAGGTTTGTCTTGTTCTGTGAGCTTTAATTTTTATTTCTTTTGAACTGAAGAAACAGGGTGCACTGATATTGCGTGGCAGCTTGTATTTGGCAAAAGCATCACACAAGACAAAGAAACTACAAATCCTGGAACTAAATTAACATGGACTTTTATTTTAAATTTTGTGGGAGAAGAATATATTTCTAAACTATCAGCAGTACAGAATATGTATCAGTAAAAGAATTAAAAAAAAAAAAACCAAGCTTATTTTCTATCCCTATTTATCAAAGGGATGTGTTTACACTGAGGGGAGGGGACACAGACAAGATACGACACTTTCAATAAAGGACTATACTCTTTTTCTTCTCTTCTGACCCTTACCTCCTGCTCCACTTCCCTCTTTCCCCTCTCCTATTCACCTTCAACACAACAGTAAAGGAATTTGCAGAGAAGCCAATAAATTAGGAAGATAGTCCTGCCTTACAGCCATGATTTATCTCCCTTCTTTCATCTAGGCTTGTCTACTTAAAGGTAAACACTTAATGCCAACACATGTAACATTCAGTATTCTATACAGAGCCTACTGCACAATGATGAATTTCTGAACTTAACCCAGATGCCTTTGTGAGCATTTCCGATCAAAAATAATCAGCGAGCTGTCAGAAGTGAACTACATGCATCCCAAAAGAAAAAGGTAGCAGCATTAAGTGCAACATCTACCATGCAACTGCCTTCTAAAGGTGGCATATCCCATGGGCTCAGGCCTATGCATCATGCATTAAAAAGTCAAGCTGCTCCTTAGCTAACAAGTGCAAAGTTTTGTTTCTGATGTTAGTGTACTTTCTCCTCACACAAATACTTTATGCTCCTTTTTCCTTTGCAATGCATTTAATTGAGACTCTCATGTTATTTTAAAAAATGGTTTTAAAGATAATTGCTGACTTCCAGGAGAGAGAGAAAAGATTATTTTTTTCCACTCTGTGTTCACACAAATCTCTGTGGGCTTATAAATAAATCAAGTAAAAGAGGGCAGATAATCCTTGCTGTAACTGGCCAGTCAGGCGTTCCAACAACTGGACTGTATTGTGCAAATATCCAACAAAAAAATACAGCAGCCAAGAAGTTTCTTCCAGAGCTCCTTCTCCATCAGCAGTCTATTCTCTTTCTTCGCTCCATCTCCTACAGCAAAAGCTCCTGCATTAAAACCAAGTCTGCTCTCTCAGCCCTCAATCAAGTCCTGGCAAGATTTAACTATACAGGAGTATCCGAGGTGCAAATAGAGTGATAGGCTTCAGACGTCTTAAGACACTTTACCAGTCACCATAATTTTTTTTTATTAACTAATAACATACAGCCCGGTCTGATTTTCATTTTTAAGCTGGGACATCTTTTCATATCAGTGCTCATCCTGACAAGGGAAAAAAAAGGATGGGATATTTCACATGAATACAAAAAGGCCTGTTGCTAATGCCGACAGCTTCTGGAAATGATGATAGAGCTCGTGGTCCAGGGATTGCTAATTGCTAGGCACTGGCAGCCCTAGTGCAAGTTTTTTGAGGGCATCTTTGGACAGGACACTATACAAAAAAGGACAATGAGTCTAAACTAGTGCATTTAATTCCTGTGTCTAAAAACTGAAATGATAAAATCCATGAAAAAAATTATCCCTCTTAACCTTCAGAAGAATAGACTGAGGGAAAGGACAATAAAGACAGAAAAAAGAATGGAGTGCAACAAAATCCTTTCACACCGAGGGATAAAGTCTCAATACAAAAGCAATCCAAGCATTTTTTCATTCTCTAAAAGCCCAACAAGTAATGAAATTGAAACGCTGAAGAGGGGCAGTGTGCTGAGCAGAACTGCTGTTACCATCCAAAATTATCACTTAGCAAAGCCAGTTTTGACTATCAGTGCGACAGATCATTGCTTCTCAAAGCTGTACATTTAGACTTTGAGAAATGCCAAGATCAATGACACTCAGAAGATACAGTTCACTTCACATATCACAGCCATAACTAAATCAAGGGACACCTAAAATCTCCAGTCTAGTACACAAAGAACTTACATTTGTAAGTTCAAAAGGGAGGGCAGTTTAGTATCATGAAGACTGTTCAATATCCTGGTCACCCTGACAGAGACCAGTAGCTGGAAAGTCAAGGAGCATGTGTTGGAACAAAACAACCATTAGATATGTAGTTAATACTCACAGCACCAAAATAGGGAGCCTGATGTACAACACCTGTGCCTTCCTCCTCCTTCACGTAATTGTCTACTACGACAGCAAAGGCACCTTTATCTTTGCACTGTAACACAAAAATATGTTTTTCATATATATATGTATACATATATATGGCAAAACAGAATTCTTGAGAACATGGAAGAGCCACCAGCCACCTGCAAGAGTGAAGAACTGCATCAAAAATAAGTGATACAGTAAAATGTGACATTCCTAACATTATTTAATCGTTTCTCATAGCTCAGATGCCGAGGCTGTACACTTCATTTAAACAGTATCAAATGTGATTAAATCTAAGAGCTCTTCAGAAAGCCTCATAGTCAATTCTCTTCAAGCCACAGATCTTCACACAGTTCTGTGCTTGACAGACAGCAAATCAATACACTCCTGGAAGCGAGAATACAGTTAAGAAAGCTGCAGGGATTCTATATACAGAAGTCTACTTGCATTTCTGTATGTCCACTGTACCTTCTAATTTTAAAAAAGAAGTCTGCTTTTACAGTAACGTATTTTCTTTATTTCCCCCACAGTGTGAGAAGGTGCTATACATCAAGTAAAAAAAAAAAACCCACAACAAAAAAAAAACAGAAAAAATCGCCAAAAAAAGATCTGACAATTTTCAGTGTGTTCAGTATGTAGATAATGAAAAATAAAGAGCTATTTTCTATCCCTTAATACAAAAGCAGTAAAAAAAAATTACTGCAGTCACAGCTGAACCAAATATGTTACAAAATATTAGGTCTGGCTTGTTCTGAAGAGGGATATTTTGAGATAAGACATCCATTCTAAAAAAAAACTCAAACCGGTAGATGCCCATCTGCTCCTCAGAAGTACAGCAGGACTCAAAAAATTTATCCATTCCAAACCTTTACACCTGCAGTCCCGTTTTTCAGATTCAGCCATGACCTTTCTCTAGAAAGAACAGGTCCTGCTCTCTCTGCAGAGGTTTTCTCACCTTTGCCAACTTCAGCACATGCTTCAGAACAGATGGTAGTCCCAAATGACCAAATTGCTTACACAAGTTAACAGCTGCTTGTCCAGCAGTAACGTAATGCACTTCAACTCTTTGAAAAATTTAATCCATTTTTAATCAGAATTATATTTTTTAAATATATAAATTCTCTACCCCCTCTTTATTGCCATATATTCAATTACTGCCTGTGGTGCTATTAACTGCGCCAGACTTATGCAGTGCTTAAGTGCTGCACAGGAGGACACCCATAAAAACAGATATATCCATAATTATTTTAGCAAGGGCTTTTAACTCTTCAATGGAAAACACTGCGTGTCTGGAACTGTTATCCACAAAGTCAGTCTCTTGTGAACAGAAAACCTGTGGACTTAACAGGCAGACAACAGAAGCTCACCAGATGAAAAGCTGAGAGAATACTGCCTATTTATTAATGTGAATTGGAAGTTTCTCTGCAATCTGAAGTCAAAGGACTGTTTATCACTGAGTTCTTACTCTGGGTGCACTTAAAACTTAAGGGGAAAAAAAAAAAAAACCACACAAAAAGTCAATCTTCTGGTTTTCAACCTTTCCCTGGGATTTTAAACTACTTAAATACAACATGGGGTTTGTTATTAAGACAAAAGATTTTCCTAATATAAACAAGGAATACTGAGAATCCTTCTTACATTTGTCTTTGTATCCTGTATCAAACACCAAAATTGCTTATCTTACCTGAATAAAATAGTCAAAGAGTGGTTTATATTTCTTGCCTTTAAGAGCAATGCCAGGAAACCTGAGGAGAAAGATTTGCATGAACACAAATTAACAACTTGAAAATCACTGGTAGGAATGCTATTTTTTCCCCATTTCCCTTTTCCCCATCCCTAACAGAATCTGACTTCGTAAGGTGAAGAAAAAACTATTTTCTCCATAGTTTACTTCCCATTTTTACACCGCTTTGGCAATTGGGACTTGGACAAAAACTGTTATGTGACTTAATGTATCTCTGCTAATAGTCAACAGGTGTGTTTATATTTGATGGTCTTTCAATCAAGCAATCATTGCAAATGAATGTAGGTATTAAGCATTAATAACCGTCTATTTCTGGTAAAGCTGGGGAAGGAGCTTCTGGATAAAACACAATTTCAATTTAATATTCATAACAACAAAGCCCTATGGGGCTCAGCATGTTCAGCAGAAATCAATAAGCACTGATCCAAACCACCTGAAAGCAATATGCACAGAAGATTGTCATACAGGCTACTGCAGCATTTAAAGCTCGGATGCCTCAGTTCTTTTCCTAAAACGAGGCATCCAAACTCTCCATGGGCACCTCAGAGAGAGATCCAACGGAGCCAGGACTGACGGAGGAACCAACTGAGCCAGACAGGAAATGCAAGACAGAGACAGAGCCTGTAGATCTGGCTTCTGACAACAGTCACCACAGATGGTGATTAGGTTGGGATTCGCTGCTCGGAACTCTCCTGAAAATACTTAAATCTTCCATTTAAGCAAAAAGTCTAGTTAAAACACAACTTAATTTAATAGATGGGATAGCTCTCTGAATGTGTCACAGCTGTGGTCTTTGCCTATACTCCTCTTGATCCACATCTTCCAAAACAACGGTCAAACCATAAAACATTTGACTACTTCAAAGCAGAGGACTCTACAAAGCTGTTTCATTGTACGGGGAGGAACTCAAGCGGTATTTAATGCCAAGTTAAAGAGCACGACTCTTCAGCTCAGCACACAAAATATCCACTAGGAAAAGGGGAGATTTCTATTTTAAGCCACAGCTTCGTGGATGGTTTATATATTTTATATTACAAACAGCCTTAGGAATGTTTGAGGTGCTTAATCGGGATCAGATGAGAGAAAAGATTCCCAGTGCTCAGCCACACAGATGTGGGAATGTTCAGACATAGAACATGAAGCACCAGAATTCGCTTAAAAAAAAGAAGTTAAATCCTTATTTAACACAAGTAAGCGAAAGGTAAGGGGTGGGGGTCACATTCCTGATTTTCTCTTTTGAGATCCGAAATATTTTGTTTATCAAAGACCTAAACTTCAACATGAAAATGTATACAGTGCTGCCTTCTTATGGCTTAAGTTATAGTAATAACCCTTCAACAAGCCTTCTTATGGCTTAAGTTATAGTAATAACAGATTCATTTAAAATCACTACAGTAATCCTTCACTCTCAGGTGATCAGAAATCTTTGTTGGATTTTCTAGAATCCAAAGAGAAAACAGTAGAAAATCGTGTAAAGAAATGAAACATTTAATATGCAAGTAGACCGAAATGTAATACAAGGGGAAGAAAATCCTCATCAATAGTTTCATATCTAGGACTGCTAAATAAAATAACAAGCCACTCAATGGCCAGAAGTGGTGTAATATACTGAGATATTTATGCAAAGCTGCAGCAAGTATTCTGATAAAGATGGCAGCCATCTCAGTGAAACAAATAAGAAGTATTCCCATTTGCTCTCACATAAAAACCTGCCATTTGCATCTGGGAAGAAAAGGGAGAGAAAAAATCAGGTTTCAGATGGAGAAGGCTGAGAGCACTCAGGAAGTTCAGATGACTTCAGAGACAGAAAATGTTCAATAAGCTCATTCCTTGAGTTCAGCCTGCCACCTGGTACTACTGTCACGATTCTCTCCCTTGAGGGCCCAACTGCCTGAGAATTCCAAAGTGAGCTAAAGAAAGAAAAAAGTTAAGAGTAGAAATGGGAAAGTTCATTTCCATGAACTTATAGATCTGAATCTTTAAAAGATCCATTCAATTACCAGCTACCTCTTAATTGTCTCACATTTCACATCTGAGAGAACTAATTTATTACATAACACAAAAATTGGAGCATGACCAAAGGAAAAAAAAAAAATATATCAGCTTCAGAAGACTGTAGCACTAATACAGAAAGAAAAAAAATACACCGCTCTGCAATGGGAACAGAAATTGCCAGCAGCCTTATATATAGGCACAGAAAGGTAAAAATAAATAAATAAATAAATATTATCCAAGATTAGAGGGGAAAAAAAATAAATTAGAAATACAAGTAGCCAGGGATGTAAGCAATGTCAACTCAACCCCATGTACAATTGTCCTAAAGAGCAGGTACTTCACAGTTGTAATAAAAACACCAAACCAAAAAAGGCCAAAACATTCAGCGTATTTCTGGATACAGAATGACTGCAACCAGACTGAAATGAAATTTGTAGTATTCCATTAAAAGAAGAATTTGAAATCAAAATACAATAGATCAACAAGCATTAACACGACTGCCTTGCTTATGTTTTTTTAAGTCTAAAGGACATGCATTCAAAATTATTTAAGAAAATTGAAAGGGTTTCATAGAAAGCTTAGATTTTAGACACTGAAGAAGTTTAAAAAGACTGGAAAGCAACAGAGCACCTATACTTCAAGAGAGGAATGGAGTACTGACGGATCTAAACACCAGTCAGGCTACCATAACAACCTGATTCAACCTTAAGTGACTGAGTAATTTTTAAAAAGTGAAGTGCCAAATAACATACAACATGAGTTTGTCAAGAACAAGTCACACCAAGCCAAATTACTTCTTTTTAGGCAGACTACCAAGCTTAAATGGCAAGCAGAGAGATTTAAGTCTTGCTGGTAGTAAGACTTCGGACACTTCAATGTGTCATTCTGACAGACACAAATGTTTTCAGTGGGAGACTCCACGTTTACACGGATGCACAACCACTTTGAGGAAAAAGTTATTGTTAATTCTTTATCAGACTGAAGGAAAATTTCCAGTGGTATCCTGGCAGAGACTACCATACCATAATGCCAACACTACCCCATGGTTTTACTGATGACTCTAAAGGAAAGAAAAAAATCTGGAGATCACAAGTTCTGTCAACCCTGAAGAATAAAAGCACTGAAAATCATCTTTCTAAATTGAGTACCAGTTTAAATTGCTACCGAGTAAGCGATCGATAAAGAGAATTCAGTTAGGGGGTTGAGGGAGGGGTGGAATCAATGTAGAAATACAAAATAAGAATTACTCAACTGTCACAGTATGAGGCATCAGAGTAGACAACATCTTCAGCAAACATTCCAGCTCTATATTCCCCTAACACAATGACTACATGTAATTGCTTAGCTGAAAGAAGATATATCCTCCTTTTTTTAACTGTTTTTCACATGTAAAGCTTTTAATTGCTTCAGGAAAAAAAAAAAAAAACAAACCAAAACCAAGAACAACCAAAACACTGATGCCAGTGAAGAAGGGCTGTTATTCCCAAAAAATTTTCAAGTATTTGCTTTTTTTTTTTTTGTTTTAGCATGGTTTTGTGTCGTGTGAGGGTTTATTGGGTTGTTTTGCTTGTTTGTGTGTTGGGTTTGTTTGTTTGGGTTTTTACTCACTGCACAGGACTGAATAAAGTGAGCAAATAAATATTTGTTGTATTTTACCTCTTTAACAGGTTGATGTTCTATACAAAAGATTTAAGAATTTAAGAAAAGCCAAGCTACTTATTTTGTCTAAGAGAGCTACAGAATTTAATACCCTCCTCCCCTATCAGGTCTAACTTATTTAATAATTCATATTTTTCCACTGAACTGAGATGAAGAAGCAGTCTTCAGAAAGCATTAACTGTCATGAACTACATAACTTAGGTAGACCATCCTAAGGAAGCAGCATTTAAGTTGCTAAAGACAATGGTTTTGCTTTTACTCATTTGCCTTTAAATATTTACATAATACTTAGAAAGCGTTCAGCATTTGGACAATCTCCAGGGTTTTTTGAGACTTTTAAATTAATGTCTTTCAAAAAAAATACACAGGAAAAGGAAAAACTAAGGAAACTTTTTTTTTCCCCCACCACAATACAATGATGCAATGAAACCTTTCCTCTATCTGTAGCTTCATGTACTAGACCAATTTGTCCTAGTAAATTTCAATCTCTTTTATACATTTTTGCAAGATATACACAAAGTATCATCATGCAGGGAAACCATCTTTAGCAAAATCCAACCTCTGGAAACATTTAACTTCTGATCTATAAAAATACTGGAAGTTAACAAGAGTGTAATAATTTATGAACTTGCCTGTCAAGTATCTCATATTCACTGTCAGATTTGTACAGCGCTATCAGCCTGGATTCCATCAAAATGTAAATCTTTCCTGTGGCATTATCTAGAGTATATAAAATAAAACAAAAAGTTACATAAATCTCAATTTAATACTCTCATTTGCAGCATTACGAAACCTTTTAATTTATGCAGGATAATATCATATTAGCTATAAAACTGCCCGAAAAATCCTGCTGATCAACCACTAGTTTCCAGCTAGTTCTTCCCCCTGCAACTACTTACTCAACACTTTTCAAAAGTTAAATTTATCAGAAACTACAGGATGAAACCCAGTCTGCCAATTTTCAGTGTGGTTTTTTGTTCAAGAGGCAGAAATACCCTACCTTGTCTATTATCATTGTTCCAAAGAAAAGCAATTGAAAAGTTTCAGTATATGTAACTGAAACAGAGGGAAACAACTGGAAGATGCTACATAAAATCAGTATTAAGCTGACATTTGGGTAACGATTGCATTTTGACACCTTTCTCAGATTTACTATTCCAATCAATTTTTAAAGGAAGTAAATACAGATAAAAAGTGAAACATTATGAAGGAAACCCTTTTTGTACCCCCAAATAATCCTGATCTCTTAATTTCAATGCCAAGTTTTATTCAGACTACTACCCTCCCAACTTAGTCAGGGTCACTAACCCACCAGCAGTCAGTAAACCAGACACCCAAACCCAACGACTCAGAGGTGTGGGTGGTTTTTCTGAGAGTATTCAGTAACTCGTTTGGAGATGACCAAATTTACGTTAAAACCTCGGAAAACTGAAACATATTTAGTTTTCTCTTAAAACAAAGAAAACCTAGAGACCTGGAGTTCATTATAAAGGCCTCTGAAACTTTTTAAGTTTAACATCACCTTAGGCACATGTTAGATTCATGTGATTATCTTGGAACTGGAAATTATCTCTTTGGCATTTTTTTTACTGTATATTGAATGTCATTATTGACTTGACTACCTCTTTTTTTATTTTGTGCTAAAAATCCCACACTTCAGTCAGGTTGAGACTAACATGTGACATCTTGGGTCTGTTATGGGTTAAAAGTACAAAAGTGTTCAGTTACTGCAACTGAGCTGTCATATAGCAGTAACTTGCTTATGAGTCTGAGCCCCAAGAAAGGAGAGAAGAAAAAAAAACTAGGGACACCCAGCCACACTTTCCTGTCTCTCAAATACAGTGTGACTTTAAGAAGATAGATAAAACGTTTGCTCTTATTCTGTATTTCAGCTATCAATATTTTTTAGGCAATAGTCTGCACAATGCATGTAAAATAAAAAGAGCACAGCAGCTGGAAATAGCCACACAGGAAGTAAATCTCATCCTGCAAAATAACACTGATCCAACCCCAGCAAAGTGCTATAAATTTAGCACAAAACAGTCTATAATAGATACAAGTACATAATCATAGGCATTGAAGAAAGAATTGTTCATCATATGTCACCTTCAGTTAACACTTGCCTCTCAATTTCACGTATTGCAATTCTGGATTAACACAAAGGGCCAAATTACTAGGCAAGGTCCAAGGAGTAGTGGTCCATGCAACAAGAGAAATACTTGTGTCTTCATCCAGTGGGAAGCTCACAATCACTGAAGGATCTTGAACGTCCTTAAAAACAAGATAAAGTCAAAGGGGAAAAATGAGGGGGAAAGGGGAAAGGTTTACTGCAGGTATTAGTGAGAAAATACGGATCTAGGAAATAGTAACTGTCACTGCCATCCACCAAAAACCTATCTTGCAACTTGCCTACTTCATCACCATAGTGGTAGAAGATGAAGTGGCAGCATAAGAAAGTTTGAAGAGAACACCAATTGCAATGTTCCTCCATTATACCGGTGTAAATAGTCCGACAAGGCCACAGGGTTAAAAATTAAGATTAGCACTGGGATTTGGGGAATTACCTGCCAAAACACCAGAGAGCTGAGTGTCAGTTCCCTCAGGCACCTCTTATAACCCCACTTTAAAAGTTTATAATCCATCTCAGCTGTCAAGAAAGTCAGCAATTTCTCTCATACAGCTTCACAAAGCCTTTTTCCACCTTTTCCTCTAGAGTCAGCAGTAGGAAGAATAGCCATCACTTAAGAAGATGCAATCTCTTATTAAGAAGCTGTTGTTAACAAGGGAAAAAAGTCTGGGGCACTCAAAACCAAGAGTATGTCAATAGCCAATAGTAAAAGAATCTCAGGGAATATGATCTTTGTTGGCTACTCTATATAAAACTTCACCTCCAAATGAATATAAAGAATCTCCTGAAAACAAGTTTTTCTTTCAGACAAGTACAACCCTATTCAGTCGCTTCACGTTTCACTTATCATGAAAAGCAGATTGAAAAAAGCAAATCCAATCTTGCAAATGTGAAATTTTCACTGTTAATTTTAAATGCCAAATAAAAATGGGTGCCACACACAGACCCTAAACACAGGGATATGTCCCATCCCCTCATCACGTCTAGTGCAAGGCACTCTGCTTTCCATCCAGCATCATGGAACAGTTCGGGGCGTCACGGGACAGGCAGCTATTTATGGCTGAGCTGAGGGCTGCTCCAGAGGGAATTTTCTGTGAACATCTGGTGCAGTCAACAGGAAAACATAAATATTACATAACTCTGGGGCCGCGCTCGATGCCAAGCGAAGATCGAGCCATCGCTACCGTTCTGTCTCTACCAATTGTGAAACAACACTGCAGGCTATTCACTTTGCTTTCTGAAGCACTAAAAGTTGACCAGGTAGATAAAAAACCACAACTGGCAAGCCATAAAAAAATAGCATCCAGGCTGCCAAGTAATGACACTGTATAATGTTTTAGCTCTTCACAAAATTATGCTGCTTTCATCTGAAGACAACACTTCTTCAGTTAAATGTAATACAAGCTGCTGACGTAGTTTACTTGGGTGTACATTAGACACCTAACTCAGTTTCTAAACATGCTTCTTGTGTCCTATTTCTCATGATTTGTGTCCTGATTCTCACAGGATCGATAAACAGAAGCCAAAGCCTCTTTCCACGGTGAGAAAGACAACAGCTGCCTTACACCCAGGAATCACTGGTCTCACCAAGAATAAATCGTGTCAGCTTACAGACCCTCAGCATTTCCCTCTTCAAAACACCACCTCTAGCAGACAAAAAAGATAACTTTTGGATGAAGTGGCAGAGCAGCACATCCCACACTCTATGAGTTCTAGAGTAAGGAATCGCATCTAAATATTTCATTAAAATTCAAGAAAAGAGCTTTGTTTTATGGAAAAGGGGCACACACACACAAAAAAACCCCACAGATACAAAATAGTCTTTGTTTTAAAGAAAGCTCATTAATCTGAGTCTATATGAAATGTCAGCTAATAAGTAGGAGCCAAGTAATTATTTCAGTTTTCAGACAGACATTGAGATATCTTTGCAGGTCTCACTTTCTTAAATCACAAAGCCTTTATTCTTCAGTATGGTCAAATACCTCTCGGCAATACTGAAAGCTCTAGTATCTGTGGACTGCATTTTACTACCAGTCTATTTACACATTTGTTTTAAAAACACTATTTTTGGCCAGTGAATTGGCCTTTTTTAAGCAAGATGTAAAAAAGACCAGATGTACAATTTGTGCTAGCTCTCTGCTGTAACAACACAAGTGAAAGATTTACAATATAAGGATATGGAGACCTGAGTGGGGATTGGAAAGGATAGAAAACCTCTGTCCACAGACTAATGTGAAATTTGGAAAATTGGGACACAAGTTCTACCTTCACAAATGTGAACGTAAGTTCGTTGCAAATGAGAAGTTGCACCTACTATATCTAGTCATTCATTTTTAAAGGAATATCTTATAAAACAGAGTATATCATGCATTATATTAGGTAAAACATTTCCTGGAATATCTCAATCTAAATTAATGATTCTTAGAAGAGCTATTTTCCTCCTGCTCTACAATCAAACACGGCCTTTGACAATTCTTATTAGTCCCCTCACTGAAGATTTGAACTCTGCCAAGGACCTTCCTCTTTTCAGATCTGCACAGAGAGGGACAGCTGCAGCTCTCCTCTAAGTATTTACCATAAAAACCCAACACAGTGAGATATTCACCACAGGAGCCCAGAGAGTGAGAGTCATTTACCAGCATAAAACAAAGTACGTACTTTATACACCTGTAAGTAGTAAGAACAAGGGAAGAAGGAGAACGGGGAAGAAGGCTAAGATCCAGTGACCCAAAGAAATACAGCACACTGTATTTTTACCTACATTTTTACTATCAATTTGGAGTGCTATAATATGCCTGTGTAGCACCAAGCAAAAAATACTGAAGCTTTCCAAATCCAAATTGAAGACAATAGAGAAATCTGATTGCAGCATATAACGTACACGTATACTGACTTACCTTGTAATTCTGATGGGACTCAAAGTTTGACAGTGGGGTGTTGCACGCAGTGGAAAAAGGCATGACCTTAACACCTCTGTACACCAGTCCTTTGTCATACAGTTGCTTGAAAACCCACCTGGAAGTAAACAAGGAACATGGAATAGCACTTGACGCTTGAAATTCAGTAAATCAACTGCAAAATGGGATTCTGCTCTAGCTGGAGTACTGTTCTGAATGACATCTTTTTTAAACAATCAATCATCAACTAAAGACAATATTTGCAAGTCAAAAGGAAAGAGATAAATTGATTGCAACTGTATTTCTGGCTGATTTTTAGCTTTAGCTGATTCTACCAGCTTGGTTTTCCATGTGCTGACTGCACAGCACATTATTAATCAGCAATATGAATTTGTGTTTCATCCAAATACTTTCTCAAACTTCTTGAATATAAAGACCACCTTAAATTTGAACTATTAACAAGGCTGAAATCAGTCATAATTTAGAGAGAAGACCAATAGTGACATGGCTGCTTGCTTATCACAGGATATTAAAGCACCTTCTACAGCAACCAGTGCTACGTAAGAGAGACAGGTACAGGTTAGAGACACCTGCAACCCACTCCGAATAAATCCTGACAATCTGAAGAGCATTTTTCACACAAGGGCACAGCTAACCATGCGAAGTAATGAGCTCAGTGTTATGGTCCCACAATTTACATTAATATTCCCCTTTATTAGCTCATCTCACTCTGGACTCAGCTCCTGTCCAAGATCAGAGTCTCACATCAAGCTTTAGCTCTCCTTCTGAAATCTCCAATACAGCCTGTAGCATGTTTGGATCCTTACATCTTCTTGAAATACTCAAGACAGCACATAATATTATAATATGACAAATTAAGTCAATGCTTAAGATGAACAGAAGTTGGAAGAGAAATGTACTTCATATAGCAACTCATCAAGTCTCCACGTGATGGACAAAACCCTACATTTCTCTCTATCTGAATAATGCAGGATTTGCTACAGGATCATCACTGTTTATCAGCTTATCAGGTCTCGCTGACTCACACACTTAGTGGTACAGTCTGCAGGTTGGCTACCTTAAAAGCAAAGGCAGGAGATGGCACGCCTTAAAAAAATCATGCCAAATTCAACTCAAAAATCAGAGTTGCCGAGTCTGGTCATTTGAATTTCCACATCCAAATTGTTAAACACTGCTGACTTTAAAAACTGCTTCACTCAAACTATGTTTTCTAACCATCCTGATCACTTTTCTGGGTCCCTTTCCAGATAAATAGCTCATTGCTAAGCAACCAGCCCCATCCTGGCAAGCAGCACGTTTTTCTGCAGGCTGTCATTTTGTGCTTGAGAATTTGGACCTGGATTTAAGTCAGTGTCTTGCCTTCCATGCATGAAATCCTAATCTTCAAGACAAAACGCAAGGAGTTTATTGCACTGATTTCTATCTGCAGCTTGAAACAAGAATATCCAAAGATATGCACTGGCTTGTCATGGAAGTCATATGGTATGTTAATCAGAATAATTATTATCCTGCAGATCAGACAGCTGGAGACAGGCTGTCTTATGGAAAAGACATGCAGTTCACTCAGATTCATCCATGGGCCTTTAGTAAAAGTCAAAACTTTCCTATGAGTGGTCACTAACATGAGAAAAATTATATAATCTGAACTCTAAAATGAATAAAGACCAAAAAAATTGATGCTCAGCAGCATCAATTTCTGACACAGAGGAGCCAAACGCAGAAGTCCTTCAGAGCTGTGCACTTCAACAGAGGTGCCTTAAGTACACAATTCAAGAGTAACCTTGTTAAAGTAATAAGTGCCACCCACAGGCAAGTTGTGGCTGCCTGACCCCTAATCCAAATTCAAAACACAGCAGTGAGTGCATCTGTTTTACAACAAAAACTGCATCAACTCACATAAATATAAATCACTCTTCTATAAAAATGATTTGCGAATATAGTTTCATCAGCTTTCAGCATATAAATTTGAGCTGGCTAATTGCAGAAGTTTTCGTGCAAGTTAAAAAATTTTAAATGTATGCTTACCACCTCAGAGCATAATTAATGCAGCCTGTGACAAGTGACAGCAGTTATACTGAAGGTGTTCTACGTGCCTTTCAAAAACAGTTAACTAAAATATCTATAGAAAAAAGCTCCACTTCATCGCTGCTTTCTAAAGAACACTGCCTACTAACAGCACAGAAGAAAACTACTCAGAGAAACACTGCATATTTAATTCAGCTGTAAATATAACTGTAAACTTCAGGAAAGGTGAACGCTAGATGGAGCTGCCAAGTTTAAAATCCAAGCCAGCATCTCCCTCTCGTGGTAACCCTGCCCCACTGCAAACCAACTGCTCCCCACTTCTTCCACTGCCCAGCAAAAAGACGGGTTTTCAAACCGCAGCATTCTCCAGACAGGTCATAACCACCA